ACTTCTTTATCTGAGAAATACATATTGATTTTAGAGACTTATTTTTGAATTAAGTCTTTACATTTGAAGTTGTCTGATTTTTTTGAGTTCTTCATATATTCTAGATATTAAGCTTTTGTCTAAGGAACAGCTGGCAATATTTTCTTAACATTCTGTTTGTTTTTTTGCTCTGCAAAAGATTTTAACAAGATGAAATCCTAGTTGTTAGTCTCTAATATTTCATATGCTATTCAAGTTTTGTTCATAATGTCGTTGCCTATATCTATGCCTCCAAGAGTTCTACACATTATTCTTCCACCAGATTTAATGTTTCTGTTTTAATATTTAGATTTTTCACCCACTTTGCCTTTAGTTCATTGCATGGTGATGGGCAAGACTCTACTTTTAGTCTCTGATATTTACAAACCCAGTTTTTCCAACACTATTTATTAAAGGGACTATCTTTCATCCATTGAATTTCCTTGGCCCCTGTGTCAACAGTAAGGTGGCTTAGTGTGCTTGGATTTGTTTCTGCATCTGTGTAGAGATTCCTTTATAAAATAAAACTACTCACCTTCATAGTACTTCCCCAAAAGAATTAAAAGCATCACAACACAGGGGATATATGTGCACCAATAGTATAGAAGCACATTGTGTGATGGCTAAACCTTGGAAGCAGTCCAGATGCCCATCAACCAGTGACTAGATAAAGAACACGTGTTTTTTTATTACAATGGGGTACTACTCGGGCATAAAAAATGATTAACTTGAGACATTGCTAGGTAAACGGCTGCACGATGAGGCCATACTTAAAAGAAATAAATCATATACACGTGTGTAAATATTGCATTGTTTTCTATTACGAGAAACTGAAAGTGTAAATAAGGGCCAAAATGTTGGGGCTGGGGATTTAGCTCAGTGGCATAAGCACCTGCCTTGCAAGCAGGCAGTCATGAGTTCGATCCCCGGTACCAATAAAAAAGAAAAAGACAAAAAAAAAAAAGAAAAGAAAGAAACCAAAATGTATAATAGATACTGATAAATAGGAAGAAAATGTGAAAGGGATTAAATAGAAAAGGGATACTGGGAAGGGGAAAGAAAATAAATAAGAAGAAAAAAAGATTTTGTAAACATAAGGAAGGGAAGAAGAGCTGAAGGGAGAGGAATATGAAAAATAGAAGAATTAGTTTGTACCATGCACAGGCACAAATTCCCTATAATGAATGTGATCATTATCTAAATCTAAAGTGAATCAATATACTTACTTAATTAAAAATGGAAGACTCGCAGGTTATTAAGAAGCTGGGGTGGTAGTGAAAGCATTCTTTAGACTAGGAATTAGAATGGAAACATCTGAAAGCAAAAGTAAAACGAACGAAAGAATTAGTAAACTAAGCAGAAGAAATGACCTTTTATTATTGCTATCATTGTGTTCATTCATTTACTGTCAAAAATGTAACAAAGTCCTTAACTTCAAAAAGGAAGACAAATTTGGTATGTTGCAGAAAACTCTCACTGTGACAGAGATGTAAGGGGATCCTGAACAGGGAGTGAATGTGTAGCCTCAAATCTTTCACCAACCAGAGTCAGCAGATGGGGTGGCATGGGGCAGCACACCGTGTGTGACCCAAGCTAATGTAGGTGAGCAACAACTTCCAAGTCATAGGAAAGATCGCCTGTCACAGCTGTGACCACCAATGCTAAGATACCCAATTCTTCACCAGCTGTGCTGGACTGGTTAAGGACTTCTTGGCCCAAACAATTAATGAAGGTTTCTTTCCACACACATTTACAGCCAGTGTGCTGGCAGAGGTATTCTGTGGTCTCAAAAGACTATAGATGGTCAATGCTCTTTAGGGTCTCTACGAGCTTCCAGGAGAGAAGGAAGTTTGTGAACAGGAAGGAAGTGGCCATGACTCACTGTGACTGCTTGCGCAGAGGTACACAACACAATCCCCATGCTGTGCACTCTGGATCTTTAGATTGGAGAAGGTGCCCTCAAGCCTCTCAGCAGAAAATTGCTCAGGAGGCTTCCCTGAGGTGTCTAATAGAAGTTTATCCTCAAAGTACATGAGGTACTGTGGGCCTTGTTCTGGGTTCTTTTGGTACCAATAAAGAAGAGTGTGTCCAGAAATCGGATCACACCTGAAAGTTTTATTCTGTCCCTTCTTTATGACCTTGTAATTGGGGGACTGGGAGACTCCCACTTCAGTGTGATCTGTGAGGACAGAAGTTAGGAATAGAATGATAAAAATAGTTATATTTGCCTCTTATATAAGCCCACACATGCATATACACATGTACACAGTCACACACAGGCATATACAATGAGACTTCTTGATTTTCTGCAAACTCACCTATCCCCAGAAGACAGAGGCAACCGAGGAAAAGAGCCTGGTGCCCATGGTAGGGTAAGCTCAGGACAGAGTCACACCAGATCAGACAGAAACGGAAAGGCAGTCTTTGTCACTACACAATGGCTCCCACCGTAACAACACTTGATATAAAAATCCCCTCAATGCTGGTAATACACAATGTACATTATAAAATACTAGGATGACTGATGTAAATTTTTATAAGCTTCTCTTTAAGAAATATAATTTATAGGTCATGAATTTCAACCTCAATGCTGTCTAGTTGCAGAGTCCTCACATTCTGTGTTATTTCACAAGGAAGGAAGAAAAGATATCTATAGGTTATGCATTGGTGCATGGACGCACTTTAAATATAAAATTTTTGAATCTAAAAATGATCTTTTCTTTTTCTTTTTTTGCACTCACCCAAAACTCCAGGAAAAGGCCGAGGTACCAAAATTACTTGAGTCAACAGCAGAGAGGCTTAGTCAACCACCATAAACTCATGGAGGAAACCCTATGAGGCAATAGCTTCTTTCACATCAGGTTTTCATGGATTTCTCCTGTTCCTGTTTTTGGTCTCACCAAGTGGCTGAAGGCACCCTTAACTAGTCCCCCATGGCTCAAGCCTGTGCTCCTGAACCATCGCCCCAGGAGCTCTGCCCACCAGCTGTACCCTGACTTCTGATTCCTACTTTCCAGACGGGTTTTCCTAGATCTTCTCACATTTGAAATAGGCCTACTTCACAGGATAAGCACTCTCTTCCCATAACACTGCTAGTGCTTCTGTTCCACATAGAGTTACTGATACCAGAAGTGATTTTCAGAAAAGACAGTTTAGGTTAACATTCTGGAAGTTGAGCTCTGATCTGCCTTGATTTCTTGTGAAGAAAGCAACTGAGGGAAGAGAAGACTTTGGGGGAAGCCTGGTTATGAAACTGTAAAAGAAGCCAGATCTGTTAGACATGGGCAGGAGATTACGAATTATATTTCAAAACACACTGTAGCCCGAAAATAAAAGGATGTGACTTCTCATAGGTAAAATTGATCTCTGCCAGGTTAATGTGGAATCTATGGTATATTTGTTATTGGTTCTTCTATCCAACTTGTCAATCATTCACTCACCGTTTCTCTGTAAGATGGTATTGTAGTTATGGATTGTGAGGAGAACAATTAAAATCAGGACATGAAATTTATATTATTTTATGATGGTCAGGCAGAGTTAACATTAGAAAAGGCAGGAAATCTATTGACAAAACTAAAGATGTAAAATATGTAGCCAAGGGCCTGAATTTCACAGCAATGTCCCAGATGAGGCCAGATGAAGACACAAAGCTTATGACAATGTCTCCCACAAGTCTACCTGGAGGTGTGGAGCCCACAAGAAGGACTCATGCCAGTCTATTTTACAGATCCATGTTAGGAAGGCTCAGAGGTCAGCGGTTGTATCTAGAAAATCTATGCCAGCAGAGTGAAGGAAATGTGATGATAGGTTGAGGGGTCTATGCTGGAGCAGAGAAGTCACTCTCACAATAAGGTCCAGGGCTGTCCTGAAAAGCACCAAGCATCCTCAGCAACATCTAGACTCTGAGCTCCTCCAAAGATAAGCACAGTGGAGTACATGCCAAGAAGCCAGTGTGACTAGTTCATCCTGAAGATTAAGCAGCACAATTCTTCCCCTCCAGAGCCAGGAAGCAATGTGCAATGTGAGGATGAGAGCCTCTCCAGGAGAATTAACAGCTCAAACAGCAACTCTTAGGAGAACCCACAATACCTCAGTGCCTCAATGCCTCAATGCCTTTATTCTCCTTCACCACATCTCTACTTATGCTGGCAAATTTCCTCAGGTGAAACATCTATGATCAGTCCCATGATGATTTAATGGTGCTGGCCTTAAGTTCACCACCAGTATCTAATCCATAACAGGTGAGTTCTCAATACAGTAAGGTGAATTTATAGAGGGGTATTGCGAGAGTTTCAGCCCATTAAAATACAGTTGAGTAGAAAAATAATCGGCCAAGTTCTGCAAAATTACCATTGTACTCAATTCTAGTCACACGAGGCCTTGTGAAGTTATAGAAGGGAAACTGAGCTTGGTAGGAAGGCAAGCAAACTTCCCTTAGGAGAATCACTGAGACCTGAAGTCCAGGTGTGTTTTTGCCTCTAAGCAATGGAAAGCTCTGTGCCAAAGGAGGAACCACTGCCGTCTCTGCTACTGAAAAGATCAGGCTTGGATGAGGGCCTGACAGCATGGATGGAGTAGAAAGACTAGAGAAATGGAAGGAATAAAGGCCTGGTGGGGATCTGGAGCACAACCACCATCATGGAAAAGGTCACCGTCAGCTGAGACCACATGAGAGATGAGGCTGGTGAGAATTCTCCAGAGAGGTGATAGGGCTCCAGAGCAAGGCCAGGTATGTTCAAGACACAAACCATGCTCCATGCTGGAAGATGTTGCCTCAGATCTATGGCTAGAAAAGTCAGATTCCAAGAATCACATTCAAGGAGCAAAGTGGAGATCTCTGTGTCCAGAGTGAGTTTGGATCTGGTTGAGACTGTCTGGAGATACACAGAGTGCAAACCCGGTGTCCTTGGCATGCTGGCCTCCCAGTGCTATGATCTCTCCCCAGGTCATCCCTTAGTTCTAGGGTGCAGGGCCTCCTGCCCTTAATGTGCAGAGCAGAGGCAGCTTTGAAGCACTGTGGAATCACAGCTGGAACAGAAGTATACAGATGTCTGAGAGGGGCTGGCCGACAGCACAGTGAGGGGGAAGCTCTCTCTATTTGGTCTGGACACACTGTACCCATCAGAGACTTCTCCTTTTACAGTGATGTTTGTATCATATGAGTAATAGATGAGTCTCAACTCCAGTCCTGGATCCTGTCGGTACCAGTACATGAGGTCATGATTCGCCTGCTGGACACAGCTCAGTGTCATGTGCTGGCCTGTTTTTAGGACCCGGGACATAGGAGTCTGAGTGATGCCAGCATTCCCTAGACCTGCAGAGAAAGAAGAAAAAGCTGATGCCACAACCCAGTGGGAAAGGTTTGGATGAGGACCTGAAATTCCATGACAAGTGCCGGCCTTGGACTCACCTGCCTGCAGGAGGCAAAAGGCCACACAACAGAGAAAGCTGAAGCTCATGGCAGGGCCCCAGAAGAACAGAGGAGTCTTATGGTCTCTTGTTAGACAAAGGAGGATGGGGATTTATAGGAGGAGTCATTCTGAGTCCCTAGCATCCCTGCCTGTGGGCCACGGCTTTCTTGTCACTGGGGAACATGTCCTGCCCTCCTCTGGAACAACTCTAAAGTAAATGCATGATCATAATCCAGATGTTGGAATGGGACACATTTGTCTGAATTGACACAAATTATTACTGACTTTTTTTATTATTGACTTTTCTGTACATTGGTTTTTAAGCCCTTATTTATTATATTTCTATAGTGATACATTTCTGAACTTAACACAGTGTTTATAATATCAAACCTATTTCTGTAGTCTAAAATATTAGAGAAAATCTTTATGGCTTTCCACTAATTTTTGACACACCTGTCCCAAATTTTCCTTTGTGTTATCATGAATATGGATCAAAAATCACTGCCCAGTTCATTTAAAATGTGAAATGTATAGTCCATATAACTTAGATATCAGGAAGTTTGATTTTAAATATCTGGCTAGAGACGTATGTTATATTCTGCAGTTAATTTCATATAATATATGCTCCATGTAAACTACTATTTCTGTGAATTTCAGATCCTCAGCTGCAGGATGGCTTATATTTTCCTTTATAGACACAGGAAAATCTAAGATTAGCAAAGGGGATGAAAGAATGTTCAGTGTTTCATGTTTCTATACATCTCTAAGGACGCTGTGATCATCAGTTTTATGTATCTGCTTAACTGGGCTACAAGTGTACAGATCACTTGCCCAGATATTATGCTGAATATTTCCTTGAAGGTCTTTTGGAATGAAATTAACACTTAAATTGGTAGATTTGGTCATTAGATTAAGTTAACATTTTGGTCGTACAGTGAAACAACCACATGTGGGATGGCTTCATTTAATCAGCTGAACACAAATGAAACAAAAGGACCAGTTTTCCCTTTGGTAGGATAGAAAGGTCAAGCTGACAGGCCCAGAAGTGAGCCTCAGTTCTCTCTAGTCTCCAGCACCACCAGGTCCCCCCGCAGGTTCTGGACTTGTGAGCTTCTGCAAATTCATTAAGCAATATCTCAAAATGGAGATGCATAACTCCAAATGGGTCTGTTTCTCTGGAGAATTCTGACTAATGCAGATAGGGTTTTAGTCTCATAGATGATAAAGAACTGCAACATATACCAAGAAATTGAATTTGGTATGGTGAGCTGGGTTTGGATTGGGAATCAGAGTTTAATGTGCAACACCCTGTGCCTATACTTTTGTCTATGCCACTAACTCCTGGGAAAACAAAATTCTATCAATGATTTTATTAAAGCCATTCAGTGTAACAGGGATTAACAGAATAGCATTCTTATTTTGAAGACAGGCACCTTTCTTTCTGAAAATGTAGTACAGTATAGAGGTAGAAATGTGAGAGTTAGCCCAGGATTTGAGTCTCAGTTCTGTATCCTAATAGCTATTTGATTTGATCCAATTATTTAACTCTAGGCCAATTCTTGCAACTATAAAATGAGAACAAAATAGCATTTGCCTGTTAGTATTTTCTGTGATAATTGAATTTACAAATAAAATTTTGCAAATGAAGTCTTTTCAGTTTGTAGTAAATTGTTAACAAATGATGGCGTTAGTATGATTTTTTCTAGTTGACCCACTCAAGAAATGGATGACCTTCACAGCAAAAGTCACACACAGGTTGTGTAATTAATACTGCAGATCTTAGAGACAGAGAATATGTATAATGGAATGACATGAACCCTTAAAAATAATAACAGCAAGGACTGCTCCATGCCATGACATTCATGGTCTTGGAAGGCATTATGTTAACTGAGATATGTCAGTCACAAAAAGACACAACTGCATAATTCCATTTATAGGCGATGTCTAAAGTAGACTCCAGAAACAAAAGACAGGATGGTGCTTTTCCAAGATCAGAGGGTGGAGGAAGGGTGGAGTTGCGGTTTGAAGGGTATAACGTTCTGCTACGTACTTAACCTCCAACAGTTAGTAACACATTGTACCCATATGAAAAACAGATGGTGCAGTGTATATTTAAAAAGTTTTTAAGAAGATAGATTTCATTTAAATATTTAAAAGTATTTAAAAGCTGACAGAAAAAGGTAGTCAGAGAAAGAGAAAAAGAAAAAAAAATAGGAAAAATTGATTTGCATAACTCAAAATCTAAAGCTATTAGTTTGAATATCCCAAACTGTTTCTATGTTCCTAGTTTTCCTTGCTTTAAAAAAAAAACATTTTCGATTTTCAATTTTCTCTCTTCTTGGAACAATGTTTTCAACATAGGAGGGGACCCAAAAATGTTTGCTGAATAAAAAACAGAAGAAGTTAATGATGACCATGGTCACATTCCTTTCCCTTGTGGCTCACTGTGTCCTGCACAGGAAAACTGCACTTTTCTCTGACAAATACTCCCCTCCTTTCATTTTGCAGCTCTGCACCCATGCTACTCACAGGCTGCCGTAGAAGAAATCACATAACCTCTGCACCATGGCAAGAGGGCAACAGTGAAGAGTGTGCCTTTCTTTATTATCACCATGAAGGATGCAGGAACATGCTTGGCCTTGAGAGCATAGGTTTTCTAGACTTGTCAGGAAGCAGCTCATAGTAATCACGTGTGATACATGACATCCCCTTTCTACTAATTTTGATTTGAGAAAGGGAACACAGAGAAGGGCTCAGACTTACTACGTAAATAGTGAGAGGTTCCACACATGTTCATAGTGACAGGTATCACCAGCTATGGAATACAATGTCTGGGAAAGCTGCTGTAACCAGATACATAGACATGGAAACTGAAGCTTAACTGGTGCCAGTTCTGTGAGCATTAAACAGATCACACATACCAGGAGCAGCAAACATCTGGGAAAAAAATCTGTGAGCTTCCCAGGGCTTGAGCATAGCTGCCTGGCAGATCTGCCTTCCTGGTCACTTCCAGAGTAGAGAAAAATACTTTTGTACAGAAGGCTGGCCCCATGCAGCTCTGTGCCAAGCTGCTGGCACAGAGAAAGAGAGCGTAGTCCTCCAGCTCTAAGGCCCTCAGGCTGAGTTCAGAGCTATAATTAGAGAACTACTTTGCTGTGAATGGATCAGGAGCATTTCCTTTACTTCCCTCTTCAATATCATAATGTTCAAATAGGAACTGGAGACCCTGGTCCAGCTTCTGTTGGTACCAGTACACAGCAAGGTGTCAAGAGATTGGGAAGCATCTCAGTGTTGCTTGTTCTTCTTTAACTTGGATGAGGCACTTTGGGGTTTGCATGACTCCCAAATCAATAGAGCCTGTGGGTCAGGAGACAGATGTGAAGGGTCAGGAGACAGAAGCTAAGGACTGAGTAGGGCCATCCTCAACAGATTTGTATTCAGGGAAAGTAAATAGATCAGAGGCTTTTCATCTGTGCCCAGGAGTTACCTGCTTCCAGGAGACATAGGGCCACACAGCAGAGGAACCTGAACGCCATGGCTGCATAAGGAAACACCAGCCTCTCCTAGTTCAGTGCAGGGCCTCCTGGGGTAAGCAGTCAGCATGGCTGCAGATTTGGTCTCTCTGACAGGAGCCTGTGTCATGCTCTGATCTCACTCTCCCTGCTGGAAACCCAGCTCACTGCACCTGATGGCAGCACCCAAACTGTGTTTTATGCATCATGCACCATTCCTGCCCTGCACTGCCCAGAAACTGAAGCTGGGTCAGGGCAAGCACCCTTCCGACATACCAAGAACACAGATTCCTTATTTTCATACTAACTGTACTTCTCTTCTAACCCGCCCGGGATTTTCCTCCTCCCACGCACACTCAGGTGCTTTACCCTCCACTGCCTATGCAACAGCAGAGAATCTTCTTGAGCACATTGAGACCCATGGCACCCTCACCCTCCCCAATGAGTCTTTGTTTACTTCCACGTGTCCAGGTCCCACCCAGTAAATTCAAGCCTCCTTTCTGCTCCAAGCAGACAGTCTGGCATTCTTTTCAGCCCTGTTCTCCTGGCTAGTTCCCAGACCACTACACACACACACACACACACACACACACACACACACACACACATTCTTCTGCATTGCCAAACTGGCCTGGCTAAGATTGATTTTTAATATACATGTTTGAAATATGAATGTCATAGAGAAAAAACATACATATTTGTACAAAACCACATTATATATTAGAAGACAACAAAGTCTATATCATTGAGTTTTGTATGCTAAATTCAACGTAAGCAGAGTAACACAGGTCATAAAAATAATGGGTCTTCTGCAAGATGGTCCATCCTGTAAACACCACATTCCAGAGCTTCTCTCTATGAGACCCATGTCTTTCTATATTTTGCATTTAATTATCATCACATTTTAGATACTGTATTTTATAATGATTGATTCTAGATTTTACAGGTTTATTTCCAAATTTTTATATCTGGGAATAAACAATTAGGTATGAGTTAGTTCTAAATGTCTCCCAAAGTTCTCACTTGTTCACAGGTGGGACACAGATATAACAAGCTGGTGAAATCAGCCTGAAAAGTGTATTCCTGTCTCTGGCTTCTCCCTTCTTTTTCTATTTCCTTGATTCCATGGAGCAGACACTTTTCCCTTGTGAAATCTTCTTATCGTGTGTTTTCTTCTATGGAACCAGCCAGATTTGGACTGAATCTACTAGAAACTGTGAGCGAAATTATTTTTTTCTCCTTTCAGTTGAGAATGTAACACACAATGTCTTCTAATTGCCAAGAATATTAAGATTCTCATATTGAGCATAACTATTTTTCTTCAGTTTTTAAATTAATTTCTGGGAAGACTTGCTAATGTTTCTTGCTCCATTAAATCTCTAAAGATGAGGTTGTGGTAAATCACAGATGCGCTGAGGAAATTCATTGTGGCAGGACCACAAGCTTAGATGAATATTTTCTTTGTTGCGTATCCTAGCCTTAGACATAATTAAGATACTTTCCATCCTTGGTAATCAACCATGAATATAAAACATA